TTGATATAGTACATAGGTTCTTTCCTCAGATGTCTTTGAGACTTTTACATCCCATAAACACTGCTTGTTTCATTAGTAATTTTCTTCTGATCCTTCATTCAGTTGGTTGCTTTAGTTCTTTTTCATACATATTAGCTGTATCTTTCAGGGTCTAATCGTTCGGGTGGTGTTGAAATCAGAAGATTGGAAGGTTAAGACCTATGTTGTTGATGTGACTAAATTAAGGAGACATTGTGAATTCCTAAACTTTTTTTTCTGTGTTCAAGTATGCATTTCTAGTCTATAGCTACAGATCTAAGTTGTTTTGAAACATGAGATAAGTCTTTTGTAACTCTCTGATATAATTTATGAGCTTTTGCAGAACTATTTTTCAGTAATAGAAAAGCTCCATTTCTTGTTTTAAATTTGTATCTTTAGAGCAAGAGCTGTCTTTGTGGTAACTGTTCTGCTGTTTGCATAGGAACTGTATGGCAGACTAGTAGGATTAGAATTTAAGACGAGTAAAGCTCATTTACAAGCTAATTTACAAAGCTCCTTGTCTACACTAAAATTCCGGGTCATGCATTCTCTCTGCAGGAAACAAAAGGAGGGTTTGGAGGATTGAGGTCTGTACAGCTGTCTGTAAACAGTCAGTACTTATGCAGCATAAAGGAATCGTGCTGAAGCAGTCTATTAAGGTCTTGTTATTATGGTTGAAATTCACTAATACAGTACTGTTAAACTGATGGATTCAGAGACAGTGAAACTCCACACTGTAAAGCAGTGTTATCTTAAAAGGAACAAATGTGTGTATGTTAGAGGTGGGGAAGGTCTTTCTATTTGTCATGTGAGTTTGGGGTTTTTTTTAGACTTTATAACTAATGCTTTGGGATTGTTGGGGACTTTTTAAAATTCTGGTTTGTTTGTGGTTTTTTTTTTCCTCTGCAAATTTGATTAGTTGAGGGTGAGACAGGAAAGTGGGAGTTTCTTTGAAGAGATGAAGTGGTAAATTGAATATTCGACAAAAAGCTAAGAATTTAAGAAAGTGAAGTTGCTATTTGCTTTGGCATAGAGAAAATCATCACTTATGGTTCATTTAAATTCCCATTTGCTATGAAATATTTAATAGGATATTTGTGACAACTTTGTGAGAGTTTTCAACACTGAAAAATAGTGACCATTTCAGTTTGCAAGGGTCTTTTAACTTATACATACATTTGTTTCTAACCCCCACATATTTCTTAAGCTGAGCGGGAAACAGTTTAGTTGTTTGGTTTAGGACAGGGAAGCAGGAAACTAGATTTTGAAATGTTAGAGTTTCTGTGTTTGGCAGAACTGTTTTAACACATTGTAATAAAATAGGTATTAACAGAGGAACACACACCAAGAATATTCATACTGTTCAGGTTTTGCACGTGGCTTTAATAAAAAGCATGAGTTTCAGTATTCTGAAGTATGGAGCACCAGGGATTTTCATTGTATATAAGGCTCTCTCTCTTTTATTTTTATAATTTTTTATGCTTAGTTATTGATTCTTGATATAATGGATAAGTGCATTAAAAAATTGTAGTAAATTTGCAAACTCTATTTTGAGTACTGCATGTGCATTTTATTAGACAATCTTCTATTTGGTAATGAAGGTGTTTTATGTTAAGCTTAAGCTTTGACTCACACCAGCAAATAAACTAGAAAATGAAATTTTCACAGCACTTGTAAAGTCCCATTAGACAAACTAAGGCAGTGTAGCTTCTGCCAGTGTAGAAATGGCACATGCATATCATCTCCTTGCCATCCTCAGCTGTGTACACTGATTGTTGCCCCTGCATCAGCTCTAGTATTCATCTGACCCCTCTTCAGGTTGGAAAATGTGGAAAGCCAGCCTAGAATCCTCTTGGTTTGATAAATGAGTTCAAAGAGTGAGAGACTGGATGGTCAGAAGGAGTGAAGGTCAGGCTGTCTCTGAGCTACTCGTTTAGCTCTTGATCATTTAAATTGATTGGACTTAATCATACGTTTGATTAAACTGATTCAGGGCTTGGTGAAAACAGTGTCTTTTCCTTGCCTTGTCTTTTCTTTAATTTCAACAGCTTTTGATTATTTCGTTGGTTTCTTTTCCACAGCAGCACATTGTTGACTCATACTGAGCTGCTTGTTCACTGGGACCTCCACATCCCTTTCCATGGAGCTGCTTTGCAGCCAAGTAGATTCCAGACTGTACAGCACTCCTGGATTGTTTTCCCAGGTGCAAGACTTTACGCTAGTCCTTGTTGAAGTTTGTAAGGTTCTTGTTAGCCCACTCTTCCAGTCTTTCTAGGTCTTACTGCAGGGTGGCTCTTCCTCATGAAATATCGACTTCCCCACTCATTACAGTCAGCAAACTTCTTCAGGGTACTTTGGTGTGGTCCTACATGCTATTAGACTTGCATGTAGTTCAGAATTCTACACAACTGTGTTCTTTCTCAGGATTTTAGCAGCCACTACTAAGTTTATCGTGAAACACCAATCACTAACATGTACAGGTTGGAATTTAGCCTGTCAGAAAACATAAGCCACTGGTATTTTCTCTGTTCATAGTCACTTTAATATTTTCTGGGTTCAGAATGGTCAGAATAGGGAAGTGATGCTGGTCAGTATGCAGGTGTACATAGTTGAAAACAGCCTTTAAGAAGTACTTCAGTGACTGGAAAAATAAAATACTTTCTGGATTATTTAAAGTCGTGGATTTCTAGCTTTCATAATCAGAGGTGAGTGCTTTATTCCAGTAAACCTTGTTTTTGTGTCTGTGATAGGGTATCTACACAGTTATTTTGAGAAACCAATAGAGGTCTGCGTGGAGTCATGGGACACCTAAGATTATGTGGTGCATTACTTCACAGGCATTCCATTTCTGACTTTACACTTCAGTGTTTGGCTATGCTGCTGTAGCTTCATGCTTCTAAAAACCTTTGTCGTATTTTTTTAAGTTATCTTAAAATATTTAAGAAGTTATCAAATAAATAGTATGGAAAATGGAAACTGTCACATCTGATTGTTTTGTGTGTGTATGATTGGTGTGTTCAGGGATGTAATGTTCATTTATAGCATGTTTAACAATTCATTGATAGTGGAAGGATTTGTCTATTTGTTTTTTAAATAAAGCTTGAATAGTAGCAGATAATAAAGCAGACAAGAACTACATCTCTGATAAAAAGAAGGAAATAAAAGAATAAAACATTTATGTAATTACTTAGGTCAGGCTCTCTAAGTGACCATCTTAACGCATCAAAATATCAGTTCTTTAGAAGGGAGCTGCACTAATATGTTTTTTTTCTCTTTTTAAAAAATCTTTGAATATATGATGCAAGGGAAGGAAAAGAAGTTGGATTAAAGGGTAAGGAAAATGCAGTGGAAAAGAATGGTTAGATTAAAAAACCTGTGGGTACTGGAGTGTTGAGTTACGAGTAAGTAAAAAATTCTAAACAATTGTATAGGATTTTACTTGTTTGGAGATTTTAAATTGGGACCTAATTAACATAAATGAGGATATTTAGTTTAAGGATTAAAAAACCAACCACATTTAAGTGTATTTTTTACTCTCAAGCATATAGTAGTATAAGGAAGATATTTGCTGACTGCTGAACTTACTCAGGAGTCTACATAATAAAGATGGCTCTAGAACAATGTTTCACATAACAAGAACATATATAGTACTTTTGATATTCTGAGCATTAGTCACACAAATTATAGCTGGACAGTGCCTTAGTAACTCTGAAATATTTTCCTTCCTTTTGTAATGTACATATTTCTTTAACAAAAAAGAATTTGCTAATATTTTAAGGGTCATTGGATGTGGTGTTGGTGGATATGGTTTAGGGGAGAACTTTGTAGACCAGGAATGATGGTTTGACTTGGTGATCCCAAGGGTCTTTTCCAACCTGTATAGTTCTATGATTCTATGATTTTAAAGTTATGACTATGTCACTGATATCTTCATGAAATAATTACTAATTTCATGCAGCTGAAATCTTCCTAGAGGTCAGTAGGAATACTCTTTTCTCTAAATCTTTCTGGTTCACCAGGTGTTAAAGACCTCAATGTCTACTGACAAAAATACCAAAAACTTTTTTTCCCCCTCAGTATATTACATATTTTTGGCATATACAGAGAGAAAAATATTTTAAATAATTCCTTGATTACATAAGGTTTTTATTATTATTCAATTGACTTGTTATTGTTAGTTTTCAACACAGTGAAAGTTTCCAAATCTGGGCAACTTTGTGATCTTGGAATAATTTCATTAAGGGTTTTGCAGCTAAGTATCAGTGTGAAGTTAGGGCTAAAGTGGGTCTTTTAAGTTGACTTTATATGTTGGAGTTTAAAACGTTCTGAAAGTTACATATTTAATGCTAAATTAACTGGTAATTGTGAGAACTAGTTTACCAAGCTGATTAACTCTTTACTTTTTTATATATATAAATTTTGTCTTGCAGTCTATTCTGAGTACAATATATCAGCATTTTTTCTGAAGGGCTTGAGGGGGATTTTCAGTAGTTATTAGTTGCAGCCATAGCTCAGAACTTCTAATCCTGAATTAATTGCTAGAACTTGGTATATTGGTTCTCTTTAAGTCAGGTGAAAAGAAATACATGTTTTTCTGGACTCTACCTCAGTATATATATTGGTACACTGCACAGAGTAATTTTTATGATACTTCCACCTGCAGAGTTACCTTGAGTAGCAAAAGCTGATTTGGGAAGAATTGATCTAGTCACAAGAGGGCTCAGTGGGTTGCAATTTATCTAGGGATTGTTGTTGAGAAATGTGAAGAAATTTAATACCTAAATCCGTAATTCCACATATCTGCATTTTCTGTATTGCCTATTGTCAGTCTGACTCACGTTTTATGTTTTACAACACTTCAACTATTGTTTCCAGTAAATCCACGTTTGTACCATTTATTTCCTTTGGCAGTTCAGCAGTTGGAGGATGAAGGATTTATTTGTACTATATATATGTAAAAAATATTTGCTTTTTTATTCTAGTTATCTAGAAAAGTATGAAAAAGTCCATCATTTTGGGGAGGAGGATGATGAGGTACAACCAGGCAATCCAAAGCCACAACTTCCTATTGGTGCAATTCCAACTTCCTATAACTACCAGCAACACAGTGTGTCAGGTAAATCTTTGTGGAAAAGTAGTATTTTTTTTCCATGAGTATGTGTAAGTATATTTTGACAGACTACAGAAATAGTGTGTAGCTAAATTGGAATATTATTAAAACATGTTAAAACCCTCAATAACTTACTAATGTTTCTGAAAAACATGTAATTCATATTAGTATTCCTTCATGTACCATCTGAATATTGATTAGTTTAGCTGTGAAGATGTTATTTTAATTTTATTTTTTTAATTTAGATTACCTTCGTCAAAGCTATGGGCTGTCTATGGACTTTAACTCACCAAATGACTATAATAAACTGGTGCTTTCACTGTTATCTGGACTCCCAAATGAAGTGGACTTTGCAATTAATGTATGCACTCTTCTTTCAAATGAAAGCAAGCATGTTATGCAACTTGAAAAGGACCCTAAAATCATCACTTTACTGCTTGCAAATGCTGGGGTGTTTGATGACAGTAAGTATATGCCATTTATGCAACAGAAGGAGTCAGTATCTGTTGTAGCATCTTTGACAATCCTTGGTAATAAAAAAGTGTATTATTTATTATTTTATTAAATCATAATTATAGTAGAATATATTATATAATCGTTATAATATTATAATTTACTGTTTATTATTCTATTACATTATATTATGCTTTATTGCACTGTAATATACTTAATTTTTCTTTTTACCTTGTCCACACTTAGTTTTTATCAGCCATTACAAATACTTTTTAGGTAATTTAAAACAGGGATATTTAACAATTCAGTACAAAGTAAGAATTATTTTTTCAATGATAGAGTTTAATTGCTCAATGTGCTCAAGTATAGAGCGTTGTATTCCATCTGCTTGTAATGTTTAATTGGGTTTTTTTTCTGAATTTGCAGGATCATACTGACTTTTCATAATTCTTTTCTAGTAGCAGTCACAAATGAAATTTTTTTTCACAGGCAGTTGAAAACAATGACCCAATAAGATTTTTTACACTGATAATTCACTACATGCTCAACTGTAGTGAAATTCAGAATACAAAACTGAATGGATAAAAATCTTAATCAGAATTATGTAAGGTGTTAGCACATGAATTTAAAAGAGTCTGTTCCATCAAAATACCTAAGTATGTGAAATGAATTCTTCAGTTTGACTTGTTAGTTGGAGCTCCATGCCAAGTTATTTCTTGTAAATTGCTTGTTTGGCTTTCTGTCAAGGATGGGGGGGGTGGGGAATAAGGTATCCCAAAAATCCTAAAATCACAACAGCATAGCTCCTGACTTGTGATGGCAAGGAGGAAGTATTTGCTAGCTTTGTATACTGATTTTTTTATATATATACTTAATTTAGGAAATTACCAACATAAAAAATTGTTGAAATCAGCTTTTTCAGATAAATATATTTAAGTTTGCTAGTACAGATGATCCTGTCTGAATATAAATCTGCTTTACATGTGTAAGCATAAACATAGTATGGTATGTCAGAAATTCTTTTTTAAAATTCTGGTGAAGAATCAGTATTAGACATTGTGTACAGCTTTGTTTCTTTTCATATACAATCATTTGTAGCCTCCCTCTTCTCCCTTCAGTATTGTGTCAGTGTTCCCCAGATTCTCTCATGTTTTTACTTGTACCTGTGCCTTCCAGATGTGGTTAGATTTCAGTCATTTAGTGTCTGTATCTACCCGAGTCACAAGAACTTTCAAAGAAAAATATTTGAAAGGAAGCTACAGTGAAAACTTGGTCCTGCATTTTAGTGATTCCAGGATGCTTCTCTGGATTTTTGAGTTTGCCGTCTACTCACCTGTTGGAAATTCTGTGGACTTAGAAATTTATGATTAATTGAATCAAGTTTTGTCTTGCAATTTCATTATTTTTTTGATGCTGCAAAAGTAGGCAGTGTTCTCTCCAGTTCGCACCTTGGACTCACACAGGCTTTTTCTGTAGCTAGTCTGTATTAGTATTTCTTATATTGAAAAATATTTGAGTGAAGTCAAGAGGAATGATGGTCCTGTAATGGGGCTTGCTCTTTTCATTCCCTGGGGAAAGCTTCATACTTACCTTACTTAATTATGTCTTCTGGATAAATCCAGAGAGTGTCCTAGCAGCATTAGGGGGACAAATTGGGGAAAGAAAAGGGGAGTGTGTTTACTTTGAAGCATGAAGCTTTTATTGAAATGCTTGCATGCATTATATTATAAATAGCGAAGGTAAATCTGTCGACTTCGGTGGTTAAATGATCTGTGATTAGCAAAATCAGGTATTATGAGAGTACTGACATGAGAATTTGAGGTGTAAATAAATGATAGCTGATAAACGTCATTTAATGGGGGTTTTAGATTTGCCTTGTCTATAATTAAGGTTTTACCATTGTTAGTATTTATAATGCACTGCTTCTAGATAAATTTCTCCAGATGCTTTTTCCCTCCATTGAAGTTTGAGATGAGAATTATACTGGTTGTGATAGGGTAGCCCCAAGGGTTTGGGGGTATATAGTATTTTCTGTATGAAATACTGCATAAGCCTTGGTTTGGATTCTCTGAGGTGAAAGCTGCTGTAGTCTTGGAATTCAGATTTGCAGCATTTTGTTCACAAGAATAAAACATTATTAACAAGAAACGTTAAGTGTAATTTAGATGGGTCATGTTCATTACTGAACTATTGCAATACAGTTTATTTTTGGATTAACTGAATCTTTGCTGCTTTCAAGGAGTGACAATTAGAAAAATTGTGGCAATGGCTCCACCAAACACTCAAGAACATCCTTTACATTTCCTGTTTAGATGCTGACTTGCAGCTGAATGCTGTCAAAATCTCACTGCTACTATTATATTTTTTAGAAAACATAAGTGGGAATTTTTCTAATTACAAAAATAGCATTTACAGCTTATATTGTGCACATGGAAAACAGTTGTTGATGTGAGGTTGGGAACTGAGCAGTCATCTTGACTCGTGGAAAAGAGCTGTGGAAAAGTTTCTTATGTGTTTTTTAAAAGGTTCATAAACTAGTCCATTCTTTATGGACTGCTTATTCTCAATTTAAGCTGTAAAACTGCAGAACCAGTTAATTAAGTTACTACAGAAATTTCAGTTGGTTTATGCAGTTTAGTACAGGTCTTCTTTTAATGAAAAGGAAATACTGGAAGAGTCTATAGTGCGTTGAATATTTAGTTTATGAATTAGTAAAAAGTCAGACAAAAATGTTAATTTCTTATTTTACTAAATTCTGCTTTTTGTGCTTAAAGCTTTAGGATCATTTTCGGCTGTATTTGGAGAAGAATGGAAGGAGAAAACTGATAGAGATTTTGTTAAGGTAACCAAAAATTATGAAAATAATTTTGAACTGCATATGGTGGGTATCAAATCCTTTACAAAGATATAAATTGTCAGATAGACTGTCATATTTCTCTCAACTTTATTCCTTTGATTTAAATGTAATAGTACACTATATCACAGTCGTCATAATATGGGGGAAGAAATCTATTGAGAAAAAATAGCTGTAGGCAAATGAATAAAGAAGTTCTGTGTTTCTCTTTTAAGAAAACTAGTATGTGTGAGGGAAATGACAACTGATTTAGCAAGAGTAAAATAATGCCAAAACTGGCCAACATATTTAGCAAGAGAAAACAATGCCATGATCAGCAAGGAAACATTCTAGATTATGAAAGTTAAGTCCGTAATATAAAAAACATGGAACAAATTGAAGTGAGTTAGTAATGTTGCCACTTTGTTTCAGTTTTTGGTTTTGCACAAGTTTTTTTAATCTTTCCACTAGAGGGCATGATCTACTGTACAAGTAATGAAATCAGGTTAAAATATAACTAAATTTTTTATATATAAGTACTTCCTCTTTATTCTAGGTGAGCATTTTGAGCTGAATGAAAGCATGAAATGTATTATAGATGAAAGAGGTTTGACATTTCAGCATATTTGCTATGTTACACAATTTCCTTAGATAGGATTTCAGGTGATGATTTGTGTGGCTACAATGGAAGAAAGCTAGATTAAAATATATTTTGAAGACTTAGGCTTTTTACCAAGTAAAAGCATGAAGAGATAAGCTACTGAGTTCCCTCTGAACTCAAAGCCAGGTTGCTACTCATTTTTTTAACGTCCTCATATGCTGAGATGTCTTACTAGTATTATAGAGAAATATTTATTAGAAGCTTTTCCCATTTATCTTCTGTTTGGGACAGTTTTGGGACAAGTTGGACCATAGTGGTGTTAGTGAAATTATAAGTAGTGCTGAAATGCCTAACAAAAGTGTCCTAGGTAAAGTTAAAAACAGAAAAGGTAAGCTCTTGTATTTGTTAGTATATGAACTTGAAAATACGGTTCAAATGTGCTAAAGGTAAATGTAAAAACTAATGCTTCACAGTATTTGTTTCCTTGTTCCATTGAAAAATACATGCAGAAGTACTGTAGTTTGTGTTTTGGTTTACTTTTAAAGCACTTAGCATTGCTATGTTTACTTCACCCTGAACTGTCACAGACTGTTGCTGATCTACAGCAGCAACAAGCACCATGTCTAGATCTGTAAACATTTAAAGTTACACAGAATTCTAACTTATTATATGTTCATTAATTATATAAATTGAAGTAATTGTGATAGATAAGGACAGATGATTCTGTTAAATGTTTTTAATGAAGTGTTAAGTAGAACCACTGTAACTGCCATGAGGTTTACTAATAAGAAGCTTGGTTGCTCTCCAAGATCTATTTTTAAACATTGCAAGATGTATAGTACCACTTTGCAGTGAAATACTGCTTGAAAGCACATCAGAAACCAACACCAAATCTAAAAATATCTCTAATGCTGAAAGTCCAGATTTTTCAGAACATCTTACTTCCAAGTATTTGTTTGACCCTAGTGCTGGAAGTAATTTATATTGCAGCTGTGACTGTGTCAAAACAGAAATCAAGGGTTGCATTATGGGAGCTTCATAACATAGTGTTTTGCCTATCTGTTTTTTAAAATTTGCTTTTAAAACTTTAAGATTAATAGAATGGCTATTGAATGTGTGTCCCTTTTACTGTTCACATTATTTAAAAAAAATATATTTATTTGTTTGGGTGGTTTTTACTTTGCTGCCAGTTTGTGTCTTGAATGCAAGTTATTGTTCCAGTTTGTTTCTCTGTTATAGTGACAGCAGATGATAAATTTTTGTAAAGATGAAAATAGAGGAGAGTTTTTGTGTGGGAGAGAAAAAATACGGAATTATTACTTAAAATATTGGTGACATGAACAAAATAATGGTAAAGATTCATAGAAATTAGGGTGAGAAAAGGAGTTACTTAAACAGATGAATTCTAAACTATTTAGTAATTAATTGATAGAAATTCTGTTGACTTCATAAACATTGCCCTCAGGCCACAGTGGATTTTTCATGTGTTGGAATTTAGGGGTTGGCGGGGTGGCTGAGGGATATCGGGAATCTTGAAGCTGTTCTGAAAATTATTTTTAGGGTTAAAGTCAGGACTCAGAGAGGAATAATAAACTTGGATTCTTCGCAATTTAATGTTTAAGTTTTGGTATATTGGTTTTATGCAAAAAAACCCAACCAGCCAATCAAACCCTCCTAGTCTTTGTTAGCTGAAAGTAGGTTTTCAAATGCATTGAAACAAATACAAATGATCTATGAGGTATGTTAAGAATATTTGACATTTCATCTATGTGACTGCTCTTACTCTTTTTTTTTCCCCAAGCTGCTCCTTCTGCTTATTAAAATATATGCACATAAACTTGGAACTTTAGATTTTATATAGGCATTCAGTTTCTGTATTTCAAAGTCTGTATACAGACATTGGGTAATTTTAGAAGCATGTGTTTATACTAAAATGTTTTGTGTAAGTTTTTAATGTTTACTTAAAATAAGCTTGATTTAGTCTCTTAATCGTACTACTATTATTAAATTAGTTTTCAATGAAGAAAATGGCCATATGTTTTTCCTTATTATTTTTTCTCTTCATTCATTGCACACTAGGAGTGGTTCAGCATCACCGTTAGTATTTCTCCTACTGTTAAATATCTACGCAATAAGTATGGGTTGGGTGGTATTCATTCAGTCAGCTCTTGAGTTCTGTATTAATTTATCATAAAGAATTTTTCAATTGTTTCAGCACCAGTACTTCGATTATTATATTCTTCTATTTTCTAATTTTGACTTCAAATCATTCTACTTTACTTAGTATCACAGTTTTTTTCAGAACAGTCTACTAGGTTGGTAATGTCATATTCATGAGCAAAGGAACTTGTTTATTTTCCTTTGTCCTCCAATGTCTCTGCTGTTCCAGTTGAATATAAAGAGGGAAAACAACATGTTTATTTATACTAAACTTTGAGGGAATAAAGTGTATTTTCTTTCCTTCCCCCTAGTCCTTAATGCATTATAAAAACTGTTTAGAAATTACAAAATTTCCATTATCTTCTCTGCAGCACTATAAAATTTCTAACTTTCTACTATGCTTACCTCTAAACTGAATGAAATGTCCTAGTTAGTGAATCTGTTCCATTAGTTATCAGAATTTTAATACCATTTTAGTTGAACATACTGTTATCCCTTACAGCTGTGTTAATTTGTTATTTTTTCCCCTGTTTTTCCTGGCACTGGCAGTAAGCTTAAATCTCTACTTGGTTGGGATGACTAGATGTTCTTACTTAAGGATTGAAACAACTGGCATTTTTCCATTTATCTTGTACCTTTTCGTGTTTTGTCATCCATACCTCCAAGCTCCAGTGACATCCTGATCCGATGTTTTCTCATCTACTCTGGAAGCTTTCCTGTATTAACTGTTTCATTTCTCTTCACATTTTTTCATGTTAGCAAGGTTCACTTAGGAGTATAGTTTGTCTTTCAAGAGTGGCTTGTTTAGGTATGTCCTGGTTTGAGCCAGGATGAAGCCAATTTTTCTTTCACCCTTATAGTCAGATAGATTTAGTTGTTTTTTCCAGGTATTTCTTTCATATCTCCAGCAGCTGCCTGCTGAGGTAGTATATGAATAATTGCGTCCAGTTTCTTCTTGCATCATTATTTTCTGTTTACTTTAAGCATCTTCTTTTCATGTTCTTGGGCTTCATGAGGCTTCTTCTACCTGTATAGTTCCAAAATCCATGCTTATTCCATTTTTGTGCTTTCTTTATTGCTTTGTATTGCTTGTATTGCTTTGTATTATTGCTTGCTTTCTTTCATTATTTCATTTGTTATTTCTCATTCTTTTTATAAATTTCATTTAAAAAATCTTTATTGTGCATTTATTCTTTCAGTCTTTCTCAGTGTGTTGAGAGAGATCCTTATGCATTTAAATGCCTGAAATACTTCTCAAATGTCACCTCATTTGTATCTCACAAGGATATCCAGCTGACTTGTTTCCGGTTGCTCTCATATTTTTCTTGAATAAGTATTCATGGTCATTGGTACATTCTGTTATTTGTGGACTCAAATGTGCATTGTTTTTATGGACAATAATTTGGTTAATCTGATTTTCAGTGACTTCTGCATAATCCTGTGCATCTTTTTTCCAAAAGAGCTTGACTACAGTAATCACATTGTGCATGTGAATCAAGTTGTGAATAAAGTCCCTTACCTTTGTCCATTGTCTCTTGGCATCTAAGGTCACATAGTTAAGCATTGTTTGTTTGCTTCCAAGTTTTAGCTTTTTATTCCTATTACCAGTGTGTTACTGTGATCTAAAATACGTATGTATAGGAATAGCCATTGATAAAGAACTTCACTTTTTCATCCTCTCTTGTTTATTTCTGTTTATGTGAAGTATCAGCATCTCTCAAAAAACCCATGTTTTTCTAAATGTTTGGACAATTTATTTTATTCCTGACAGTTTGATTGAGGCTGTGATTGTCATAGACCAAGCTGACTGCACCTTTTTACTTCCTTACATGGCTGTACAGTCAGTGTACAAGAATATTGCTTCAAGTTGGTTGTCATTCCCTGAAGAGAATAGTAACTTTTCTGAGGGATGTAGTTGACTCTCCCTTCTAAATATCGGAGACAGATGCCTCTTTCTTTGGCTTGGAGCTCACCTCTGCTACCTATGGTGAAGCTTTCCAGTGTTTTGGATCTCAGTAGAGTGATAAACACTTATTAGGCGTCCATCAGTACATCCATTGCTGCAACATGCTTGTCAACAGCTAAAGGCCTGGGAAATCCTGACCCATCTATAGTTAACCCATCTCTAAAATAGATCCATTAAATGCCACATGTAATACCATGTGTCTTAGCTGCTGGGATTTCTGAACAGATTACTTACCAATAAGCAGTTTAAGTTACTTGCTTGTTGAATGGAGGATGTAGGATAATATTTCTGAGGTTTTTTGGTTATATTGGTGGAACTTCTGCAGAATGTTTGAAATCTTAAAATTTTTGAAGTGCTCACAGGAAGCCTGGTTGGCTACTGCAGTAGGCATTTCATAGTTGCTGAAGCACCCCTGACAGGTGCAGGCTTTGGAAATGCAAACCTACAGTTTTTAGCAAGCTCTGGGACACTTCCACATGTAAAATGTGTTCTTAGTGAGCATCATCACCCACAGTGCTTCTGTATGTAGAAGAGAGAGGAAAAAATTACGTATCTTTAAAAATTGTTCGTCCTGAAGTTGTATTGTCAGCATATTTATGTATTACCCTCCAGATTCTCCTCCTTAGAGCTTTAAGAGCCTTTCCACATTTCTAGGACTCAGAGGACCTGAGGCTGTTCTGGTGTGCTTCCCATAGGTAATGGGACTCATGCATGCACTCTAGGTAATCCTGAGGCAAAATTTCTCCAGTTTAAGTGGTTTGCATCTTATGCTCACAGCATGACTGTATAATGAAACAATTTGAAGAATAACAGTTATGTGGAAGTAAACTTTATTTGATGCCTTGCTGTATCTGTCTTTAACTTACAGAAAGAAGGCATGTTCGGTTCTTTTCTGGAAAAGGTAATCTTATCTGAGCTAACAAGAAGTATTGTTTAACAGACTGCTCACTTAGGAAGGGGAGGCTTTCTCACTTAAAGCAACTAGTATGGATCTGTTTATTCTACAAGTTTTAGATGAGATGTTTTCCAGCAATGTGTTCCTGTGCTCATCTTCAGCCTTAGAACTTTGAGGCTTTAACTTTAGCAGTGTCTGTAGTGTCTTCATATGCAAAATAATTAAATCCTCATTTCCATGCCTTGGAAAGCATGTCCAGGACGATTTGACCTCCAGATAGAAAAATTTATTCCTATATGACTTTATGTTTTCAGAGGTTTTTCAGTGTTTCATTTTGACCCTAGACTTAACTATGAAGAGGTGAAAAGTAGATTACTGGACAATTCAGCTAGAAAAATGTGATGATGTCTAACATTTGATGTGTGACAGCAGTTTTAACATTGTATTGTAGTTGACTTGGCCTCTTCCAAAGGGCTTCAGGTTGAAGTTGAAGACTTTAAGTATTGCTATTTAATAGCAAAAAAAAGCATCCTAAAGTTAAGCGTGTACTGACTAGTAAATTTCCAGACAGTACTTCTGTGTGCCTTTTAAAATAATTACTTGAGGCTGTTCCTTAAATAATCTACTTCTCTAAAAGTAAAGGCAGCTCAAAATGAAGTACATTCTGCAGATTTTACCTGCATGCCTGGGTCTTGTCGATGATAGCCTCAGTTTTAATTAGAAAAATGTGTTTGTCACAAACAGTAAGAAGTTAGATTTTTGTCTGACTGTTCTTGTCTTTGCTAAAATGAGGTAATAATCCATTGTGTGCAAGTAATGCTCTTTACTAAACAGCACTTGGATGTCATTTAGCAGCATTGCAGTGGAAAATAAATTTTTTCTTTCCAATTTAGAAAATCTGTAGCATTCTATTTTTCAAGAAAATAATAGTGTCAAGCTTGGTATGAATGCTGTAATTTAGTAATTACATTTGCATAACAGAATGTCTCCTGCTGTTCAGCTGGTTGTACTTCCCATCCTTCCCTTTTTATCTAGATTTATTTGTGGTTTTATTTTGTGACTGTAGCCAAAAGAGGAGCTTCATTTTATTAGCGAGTCAAAGGAATGTATACATTTTTATTAACCAAAGAAGTGTTTATATTTTTATTATAATGTACACATTAGAATGTATATATAATTAGATATATTAATATGCTTCACAACGAGGTTTCTTATTAGCTTGATGCCTTGAGTAATTACTGAATTTCAACAGGACTAGCAACATAACATCAATTTACAAATCAGACCATATAATTTGTAATGTAATTTGAATTCCACTCTGCTGAAGCTTTCTGTTTTGCTTGAACTTATAAAGGTTTTTGGTGATGTTGATGATGTGGAAAACATTGCAGAAGCTTTAAAAAAGTCTCTCCAGATAGAAATCTGACTGCTATACTTCTAACAGAAGCTGAAGTCTTTTGAAACTGAGAGGAGTGACCATCTGCTTCAGTTCACTGTTTGTAGGAGGGTGAAGGAGGATGAACTGTACTTTTTTTGCACTTAGGGCATTTCTAGTTTTTGGAAAATTCTATCCATTTGGTTTCAGTATGTGCTTCAGCAAAGTACTTCTGTGATAGTGGTGGTTGATCATAAATGCACTCTTCTGATGTCTGAGAGGGAGAGTTTCTTAATGTAAAGTAAACTTCTCACGTATCATCCTGTGAGTGAAAAATATTACAATTAGATGAATCAGGGTACTAGGAAATATTTAAAGAATAATCCTTTTCATATTTTTAAAATATTTTAAGGTAATAGAAGTAAAAATATTTTAAAAATTATAATCCCATAGAAATTAAGTGTATTTTTAATTCTTTCTTCAGTTTTGGAAGGATATTGTTGAGGATATTGAAGTTCGTGATCTAATTTCTGACAGAAGCAAATCTCAAGGTGAGACATCTCAACTAATGTTAATACATGTTGGTAAATGTAGTAAAGGAAGGACTAAAATTTACTTACTTACTTTGTAGATATTTCATCAGAAGACTGGATTTGGGAATCCTTATTTCATCCACCTCGCAAATTGGGCATTAATGATATTGAAGGGCAGCGTGTGCTTCAGATCGCAGTGATTTTACGTAATCTTTCTTTTGAAGAGGGAAATGTTAAACTTCTGGCAGCTAATCGTACTTGTCTTCGGTTCCTGCTCCTCTCTGCTCACAGTCATTTTATTTCTCTACGGCAGCTGGGGCTTGACACGCTGGGAAATATTGCAGCAGAGGTAATGTGCTTCAAAACAGAACAATTAAAATATAATTTGATAAAAGCATTACATTAGTGTTAATTAAAGTAATTAGTTTTTTTCCTTGATCATTTGATGAAGCAGGAAATATTCTCTGAATTTGTAAATAGCAATTTGAAAACAGTTATTCAGGACCAAACCAAAAATACAGACTGTATGTGTCAGTTTGCTTAAATACAATCTCATGGAGGAGGATAGGGAGATTCAAGATAATCATAGTGCATAATTTTCAGTTGAGTTTCCCAGAGAGAAGAAAGGAATTTAGTTAAATCCTGCAGAGTGTACACCAACTTTTTCACTTATAACCTTTGGTAAGAATTTGAAAATAGCATGTTGAGAAAGGGAGTCATAGAGGCTTTTATGCTGTGTGCAGTGGTGTACCAGTAGGCTAGTGATATGCCACTGGGTGTACCACCTGAATCATGTGAAGCATCCTTTTCTCTTGAAAAAGGTTTGAATGTAATCAAATACACTGTTTCTATATGTCATATCAACTGTGTAGGTAAATCATACATATCTTATAGGTAGATATGTTCAGATATTCCATATATTTTAAAATATAACAGGCAAGTTAAATGGGTAGGTATCAGAGAATGAGACTTGAAGTACTGGTCCACTGCTGAATATAAAAAAAATTATTTCACTTTGCGTGTATCCAGCTTCTCTTGAATAAGAGAGCGTGTTACATATTATAACGCATGAGAGTTGCGAAGCAGAAGTAGATAGAAACAGCATGAACAATCATGACAGCATTTGGGAAGGAATGTTTGTAATTTTCTAAGTTGCTTTGTTGGATATTAAAATACATTGGTGTATACTCTTTACTGCCTGGGAATAAAGTTACAAACTACTAGAAAGTGTAAATTAGTCTGCTGCTTCAGAGCAGAAATGGAGGACGGGGCTCAAAATGCCCACTACAATAAAAAGCTTACGATGTTCTGTTTTTGTGAACATGAATGTCATTTCAACACTTTTGAGTCTTCTGGTTTGACATGCAAATTTAAGGATTTGAGCCATTAGTACTATATGGATAGTCTTAGTCATAGATTTTTTTTTTCTTTCTTTCTCATCAGCTTCTTTTGGATCCTGTTGATTTCAAAACTACTCATCTAATGTTTCACACTGTTACAAAATGCCTCATGTCAAGGGATAGATTTTTAAAAATGAGAGGTAAGCTCCCCAGCTCTTCTACTGCTGTATTAGAATTGTAGTTATTGCTGTTTGAAACTATTTTGTATTTGGTCTTCAGGCATGGAAATCCTGGCAAATCTTTGTAAGGCTGAAGATAATGGTGTCTTGATTTGTGAATATGTGGATCAAGAATCCTATAAAGAGATCATATGTCATCTCACTCTGCCAGATGTGCTGCTTGTAATCTCAGCACTTGAGGTGCTGTACATGCTCACAGAAATGGGAGAAGTGGCCTGCTCAAAGATTGCTAAAGTCGAGAAGAGCATAGGTAAGAGAGAGGGAAAACCTATTACTCTGACATATTTAGAAAAAAAGACTTAAAAATATGTCATGTTCCGTAGTTAAAAATGTGGCTTGACTGCATGTGGGTGCAGCTTAGGGATGGATATTAGAATAGGAAGTTTTGCTAAAATTTACTCTTTTCTGTCCTCAAGAGACTGATGATGCTAATAACTAGGGAAGCGAAATCTTTTGAAGTAGTTTTTTGTTGTTTGGGGTTTTTCTGGTGTTTTCTTTAATGCCATGAAAAAAGTGTGTAAAAAATCTACAAAAGCATGCAGACTTGTTTTCTTTCAACACACAGAAATTTAAAAACATTAATTTGTCTTGTCCTAATGTTATTGTCGGTTTTACATTTAATGCTTTAGATACATTAGTATGTCTGGTTTCTATGGACATCCAGATGTTTGGACCTGATGCACTTACTGCTGTAAAACTCATTGAGCATCAGTGCATTAGCCAGCAAGGAGTACCTGATGTCAGACCACAAGTAATGGATCATGGTTCTTCACAGACCCATGCAACAGGTGTCCCAGGTTAGTGCCGCTGCAAGAGAACCCACTCTTCTGCAAAATTTCCTATATGGCATGTATGGTTTTTGTCTTCTGTAGATTTCTGATTAGTTTGTGTAAATAAGTAGAGCATTGTGCATAACATATGGTATCTTTGTCAGGCACTTGTTCACAAAGTAAATATAAAGCTGCGTTAGCCAAAACTGGTGTGAAACAAGCTTGAAAATAATGCTTTTCAGTTGCTAATCTGAAAATTTACTGAAAGTTATGTATATTCCTTATTTTGGCTTTTTCAGTGGGAAGAAAAAGCACCCATTCTAGATCATTCCCACGATTTGCAGAGAATTAGGGGCCTGTTTTCTTTTGTGTTTTACACAGAATATTATTTGTTACGAATATATAGCATTTGATAGAATTGCAAAGATGAGATAGACACAGCATCATGCCTCTATTGAAGCTGCTAAGCAGCTTACTGTTACATCAACAAAATTTTAGCTGGTGTTTAAAGCCTGAAAAATGTTTTCTTAATTATAAATTAAACTGTAATTATGAGTATTTTTTTAAGTTTTATTTTGGTATTAAAATACATGGCACTTTGGAAGTTGACGGCACAGCTATTCTTGGTCAAGGAGAGCAGCATATGTACCACATTCTTTCTTTTCTAATAAAAGCACATAGCAGGATACCTTAGGTGTACACAAGATGGAACATAGCTGTTCTTTCTGGGGGAAAAATGGAGAAAGAATAATTAAGACAGACAGTGGCTTGCATGTCTAAGCTCAAACAAGGACATTCTGGAATGCAGGCAGATAACACAGTGAAAAGTCACTGGAAAAGAAAGTGTCCAAGGGATGAACAAGGGTGGATAGAAAGAACTGGTGTGACATCGCAGCAAAATTCTTTATGTTGTGTTTGTTTCCACTAGGAATTGGAAAAATAATTGCTGTGTGTTTATGCATGTTCTGGTGGAGTATTGTACCACTCTTAAATCATGATCAGTACCCTAAAGTGCTGAGATCATGATCTTGAATCTGGAAACTGTAGCTGACAAAGTGTTTACATCATCTTTGCACTTCCGTGGTGGCTCTGGCCCACCATGCACTGCTTCACTGTGGGAAATTATGGTGCAAATACTTAGTCTGCTTAGTGCACCTTTGTGATTTTCTTAGCTGGATCCTTCCTTTCTAACAAACAGGAGAAACTATACCAGTGAAAGTCATGGAGTTGAAGTCCTTCATTCAAGGGAGCAAAAATAATCTCAGCAAATTTGTTTGTTTTGTTTTGTTTTCTTCTTCCCTTCATTCTCCACAGCCTCTAGGACAGCACCACATGTTGCTCCACCACCAGGAATAGTAGAAATAGACAGCGAGAAATTTGCATGTCAGTGGTAAGTGTATAGTTCTATTAAAATAACTTAATGAGGAAAAAACTAAAAATGCCTGTATTCATCTGTCACGCTTGTTTCCATTTCCTGTTAGACATACTTTTCTGAAAAGTATAATGGAAACAATTTTGTCGTTCCTTTGAAGAAATATGAAAGAAAGCACTTAACCAGAATATTTACTCTTTGGTAGCTGATACTTGAAATTAGTTGTTTTTTTCTCTTAGAATAGACTGTAATAGGATTTTTAACTCTGATCTTTATTTTTGTTTTCTGAATTGCTAAGCAGCATCACTTGTCTTTCTGATCAGACAAGGGTCTTCAAGATAAACTGGATAGAATTTGTCAAAGCTTAGTGCTTTAAGTCATGATGTAGTTTTACTTACACTTCCAGCAAAGCTTTGACTGTATAGAGGAAATGTTGCAGGTTTTGCTGGCCAAACAACTGATGTTTCCATGCTACTGTTTACACACTGCAGAGTATTGTTAGTGTGCATTGCTAAAAGACTGAGAAATTTCACATTTACACATTTAAACAGGGATACTTCAAGTTTGAATCACTGCAGCTCAATTCAAGTGTCTGCAAGTTGGTCTCTAGCCAAAGTTAGTTTTCTAAATTGCCTTTTTAGTTAATGAAGTGGGAGATTCCCCCAGTAGTAAAATGAATCGCCTTCAAGTGCTTGGATTTTTTATGAGATACGAGTTAACTTCTGGTGCCACCTTCTCTCTATTGACTATGGAGAACACTACACATGTAACTTTCAGTCATATAGTTATAGGCGTGAATTTTGTACTTCGTAAAAAGTGTAAAATAGAAGTTTTGACTTTTAAAATAAGTATGGGTAGGTACCATGCTGCAACTGTGCAATACCATAAAATTACAGAAAATAATGAAGCAAACATAGGGCATTGTATCAGGCATAGGGCATTGTATCAGGAAGATTTGGAATATCTGCTTTGTTTCTGATTCTGTGTACTTCTGCAGCTGTCAGTGTTGCTCACTATTGTGTACATAACTTTCTTTTGATTAGACATACGTAGGTATAGGTAGTGAAAAATAAAAATTAAAATCCACTCCTGAAAATTCTCTTTAAATACTGTCTGTGCTTCCAAAAAAAAAATGCAGTTGAGAGCAGAGGAGTGTCAATGTTGTCATTGTTAGCAGTGTTGTCATTGCTAGTATCAATGCTAACATGGAGTGTCTTGCATTCATGTAAATTTTCATGGTATGTTTTAGACATTAATTCGTAGTCAGGAAAATGAGTAAATCATGACAGTAAAATTTAGAAGAGTTACTGTCTCTTGGAAGCAGCAGAAGGACAAGGTATTTATACTGACCGTCCTGGATATATTATTAACCAGCTTAGCCTGAGTCTTTGTAAGGTAATCATGTGTGACAGTAACGTGCTAATCACAGATCCCATTTCACCATTGTAAGTCCTGAATGCCTTCAGTTCACTGGTACCAGTGACAGTGTGTCAGTTTAATGTGACATACCCAACTGGACATGCCAAATTTAATACCTAGGCTTTCTGTCATACTGTGTGATCTCAGTTTTTGTAATCATGAAATTGTAACTCAACTACAGAAGAAATGGCATTGTACTTACTTTTTACTGGTTATGAGAGAACGTAAATAAAATAATGTAATAATTTGCTTGTTCTCTTTTGAAACATCTAGTTATATTGGGAGTGTAGGACTTGACAACAGAGAATGCAGTATAGTTTTACAAAGTGTTAGCACTATGTAGTAAATGCTGACAATTAAAAACAATTTTGTTCAGTACCAGCCTGTGTGCTGGTACTGATACTCGAGCATTAGGTGACAGTTGTTACTTAGCTCCATTTGCTGCTGGGCATAAACCATTCCCATGTCTCTTGAGTTGGAATAATGGATCTGAAAGAAATAAAATGAAAAATCCTGCTTGGGGGTTGCATGATTTGTGTGCTTGGGAAGGGTCTGTAGGAGATACAAATACTTTCCCTGGAAACTGAATGTTAGGCACAACAGCTTGAACAAGGATTTTATTGATGGGACTCTCTAGTGTGGGACTTCAGGAATGAGAACATGTGTATTTGTGCATATTCTCTTAGAATTCCAGCCCTTCTCTCCTGCTTTTCTGCCTCTATCAGAATTACAGGCTTGAGATGGTTATTCTATCTCTGGTTTTACTTGTTCTTTAAAGTAAGACTGAATTAGCAAATCACTTAATAAAATCTTGGTTTTGATACAAATGTTGATTTTTGAAATAAATTCCTGATGAGGAATTAGCTAGCATTCAGTATATCTTTTGCTGAAGTAGAATCATAAAGAAATAAGAATGGAGTTGTGGGGAAGAAAGGTCACCAAGCAACACTTTTTTTTTTTCTTTCTGAATATACAATAAAACTGCATATCTAGAGACTATTCTGTATATTACGTATGTAAGTAAGATGTTGCATGTAAAGTGGACTGCATGTGTTAGGGGTCCTATGTGTTAAATCAAAAGCAGTGAGAAAAAGAACGGAACAAACATGATAAGACTATACTAAAATGGTATTTTCCATGTTGTTATCAGGTCTCAAAAGTCTCTGTGATAGAAGTGTTTTAATAACCTTTTAGAAAAAGTATTCTCTTTATATTTTGCTTCATTGTTGTTTTTTTTTATCCTCAGGTTGAATGCACACTTTGAGGTGAATCTTGATTGCTCAGTCTCTCGAGCAGAAATGTACTCTGAATACCTCTCTACCTGTAGTAAATTAGCTCGAGGTGGAATCCTGACATCAACTGGATTTTATAAATGTCTGCGGTAAGACAAAAATTCATGCAACAATAAAGAAGCAGTTGTATGTGCTCAGTACTAACATTTAGCTTTAGATTTTTCTGAGAAAAGTTGAGTTTGAAAGATGTCTGGTTTTGGAATTTTAATTTAAACAAATGTTTAGAATTGGTGTAATTTTATTTAACTCTATTTCAAGGCACTTAATAGGGGACCTTCTCTGCTTATAATCCTTTTAATTCTTTCCAAAGTAGTTTTTGGAGATACAGTTTTCACTTAGCTTGTATGACATCTTGGCCACCTGGTGGATCTGTTAGTCCTTAATGATGAATACTCAGATGCTGTATTGCAAAGATGCATGCATGAGTGAAGTTACTCTGCACACAAGAGCAGTTAGTTAAACAAAAATATTTTAAGAGGATTGAGTTATTGTGTTCATTAACATAGATTTATGTTGTGTTTGGCAGAACTGTCTTTCCAAATCATACAGTGAAGAGAGTAGAGGATCCAAGTAACAATGGTCAAGCACATATACATGTGGTAGGAGTGAAAAGAAGAGCTATACCACTTCCCATTCAGATGTACTATCAGCAGCAACCAACTTCGTCTACCCCAGTTGTCCGGGTTGATTCAATTCCTGATGTGTCTTCGTCTCCTTCGCAAGCAGGTTTTTAAATTAATTCAATATAAAGTATTTTCCCTTGATTCTGAAGTTACAATAAAAGACAAAAGGTTTTGAAAATATTTTGAAAGTTTTGGAAGTCAAGGCCATGTGTTTTGATTGATTTCACTAAACAACATTAGGAACAGTATTGCAGTATGTGCTTATATGCCATTCTAGTATTTGACGTGTAACCCGTGAACTTGTCAGTCAGCTGACAAGCCTTTGTTGCTGCATCATTAATTCAGGTGCAGTTTAGTGGGAAGAGAAACAGCTTTGTATAGAAAAACAAATTCAAGCCTAGGATTTTTGAAAATTTGTTATGTTAATGTGTTTTGAAATAATTTTTTTCTCCCAAACTTCTACTCTGTTTATTTCAACAGGAATCCCACATGGGCTACCAGGCGTAGGAAATCACTATCAGAGGACCCCTCTTAACCAGTCTTCAACTTTGACAGCAACACAGATGTCTTTTCCAATTCAAGGTGTTCATACTGTGGCACAGACTGTTTCTAGAATCCCACAAAATCTTTCTCTTCATACACAGCAGCAAAATGCTCCAGTGACTGTTATACAGAATAAAGGTCCAATATCCTGTGAAGTAGTGAAGGCCGCAGTAATACAGGGCTCTGTTCCCCAGTCTGCAGTTCCTGTTACTATTGCTGTAGGAGGAGCACCACAAGCTTCAAATCAAAATCACAGCACTACAGGACAACAGCCGTCTGTCACTGTTGTTAGTTCTCAGACGTTGCTTCACCACCAACCTGTAATTCAACAACAGTCTCCACTGCATGCAGTGGTACCAGGACAGATACCTTCAGGCACTCCTGTTACGGTAATTCAGCAAGCTGTACCTCAGGGTCATATATTTGGCAGAGTACAAAACATACCAGCATGCAGTTCAGCAGTTTCACAGGGTCAGCAGCTAATCAGCACATCATCACAACCTGGGCAGACACCATCTCAGCAGTCCTCTGCTGGTAACCAGCAACAAGATACAGTCATTATAGCACCACAGCAGTATGTTACCACCTCTGCATCTAACATTGTTTCTGCCACCACAGTTCAAAATTTCCAAGTAGCAGCTGGGCAAGTGGTTACAATTGCAGGTGTCCAAAACCCACCAACATCTAGGGTAGGGTTTCAGAATATTGCACCAAAGCCTCTGCCATCTCAACAAGTTCCACCTGCCATGGTACAGCAGCCGATGCAGTCACAGCAGCAGCCTCCACCACCATCCCAGCAAAGTGTAGTGATTGTAAGCCAGCCCGCTCAGCAAGGTCAAACGTATGCACCAGCCATTCATCAGATAGTGCTTGCCAATCCAGCTTCTATTCCTGCTGGTCAAACTGTCCAGTTGACTGGACAGTCAAGCATTACTCCATCTTCTTCACCATCCCCAGGTCCAGTTACAAATAATCAAGTCCCTACAGTTATGTCATCTTCATCTACCACACCTCAGTCACAAGGACCCCCTCCTACTGTCAGCCAGATGCTTTCTGTAAAAAGGCAGCAGCAGCAGCAACATTCACCAGCATCATCGCAGCAGCAGGTACAGGTACAACAGCCGATTCAAATGCAAGTTCAGTCACAGCAACCTAATTCAGGAGTTGGCCAGCCTAACTCCGGTGAGTCTAGTCTGATTAAACAACTGCTTCTTCCAAAAAGAGGCCCCTCAACTCCAGGGGGAAAGCTTATACTCCCAGCTCCACAGATTCCTCCACCTAACAATGCAAGAGCTCCTAGCCCTCAGGTGGTTTATCAGATGGCCAATAACCAGGCACCAGGTTTTGGAGTTCAAGGACAGTCTCCAGCTCAGCAGCTGCTAGTTGGACAGCAAAATGTTCAGCTGGTCCCGGGTGCAATGCCACCCCAAGGGGCAGTACAAACAGTACCCATTTCTAATTTACAGATATTGCCAGGCCAATTGATCTCAAACAGCCCAGCAACTATTTTCCAAGGGACTACTGGCAACCAGGTTACAATAACAGTTGTGCCAAATACAAGTTTTGCTACTGCAACTGTGAGTCAGGGAAATGCAACTCACATCATTGCTCCAGCAGGA